ACCATGTCTCTGCAAAAAGTTTTGGATAAAATCCTATTTTAAAAAAGTCAATCCTATACTTGATATGCTGAACATATTAGACATCCACGACATCCCTTGCAGCAATTAATGGGTGCGGATACAGTGAATAGTTCAGAAGCAATATATAACCAACATGGGGCCATCCAGTTCCATAGTCTAGATCAATTGCTATTGCACTTGGGTCCCTTGGATTCAATGGCTCTGGCTGTATTCTTACATTCACTGGTTTATCTTGTTCATGAAGAGTGAGGTATGCCTTTTCCCACAGATGCACTTGAATGGTACAGCCTGGTTGATTTCTTCCTCCTCATCACTTAACTTGTCATCACTTTCTACCCTATCACCTCTTTCATTATCATATCCTTCCTGAACAGGCTCATGACCAGCCAACAACTCATGTAAATCTCTTTCTACAAAATCATAACAAGAAAATTATTATTTCATGCACCGTCATCTCTAAAATTAGCAATCTTACACAATTAGCACTTTTTTCCATCCAGCAAACCGCCCTATCGATTTTCTAAAGTCGTTTTTTTTTATTAATTCGGTTAGGGTTAGAGTTGCGTTAGGGGTTAAAGTAGGGGTAGGGTTTAGGTTAGTTACATAGCCATTTAACACCTCTTCTATCTTCCTAAAATGACGTCAGGTCAGTTTGCTGGATGGAAAATAGTGCTAACCATAATAGAACAACACACAAACAATATTTAGATGAAAATTGAAAAATATTAAACTACACTTTGCACATTTAAACAACCATCCACAACTAGATACAAACAGGCATCATACTCAGCAAAAATTTATAAAATACATACAAATAACAATACCTTCAGACTCATCTGAAAACCAATGTCCATCATCAATTGTATTCGCTGTCAACTGATATGATCCACATCGAAATCCAAAAGCATATGCTGGATGTTTTCATTAGCAAACTCATCAGGAATAGGGTCAAACTAAAGGGTTGAATTTAATATTTGAAATATTACGCCATAATTTGTACAGTGTATTTATAAAATTACAGTACAATATTGAAAACAGCAAAGCGGAAATTTGAAACAAGTCAACTGTATTGCATTGTAGGATACCAACCTTAAATACTGCGCTTGTTTTCACGATGATGATACACCGAGATTCCATCCAACTTAAAAAGAACAGCCTTGCTATTGGAAATAACACAATTCCTTCGCGGATTATTTATAAGGCCACATAAAAAATATTACTTGTTTAGCGTCCCCGCCCGACCTGATAAAAGTCCCCGACCTCCAATTTTTTAAAATTTTTTTTTTTAAATCCATCCGAGTTTAGTCCATAGCCTGTTCGCAGCTAAAGTGTTCGCGCGTGACCGGCCAAACGGTAATTTTCTGTTTTATTAAAAACATGAACTGTATTAAAAAACATGAACGGATTTTGAAAGAATTAAAGTGAGTTTTGACTGTGGTAATATACTGGATTTCCTGCATTTAGCAGAATTTTGTGTTGCATTTTACGAAAAAAAAAAAAAAAAAACCCCGCCCGCCCGACCTAGAAAAATTAAAATGGGTGGACGCTAAACAAGTAATTTTTTTTATGTGGCCTAAAGCTATAAAAAGACAGCACGTCCCATGCAATTTAGTATAAGGTAAAGTTGGTATAGTAACTCACACGTCATAATGAGGATCGCAACAATACAGCAATAACATGCTATTTTCACGAAGTATCGCAGCCTGACAATCTTGTCTTTCGAATGCTTTCATATTTGTTTACTCAGAGAGATGTTCACTCCACGACAGTCAAAGAATCATTGAAGCCACGCCTGGAATTAGGCGCTCAAACCCATGATGCTTTGCGGCCTGCTTGTCCGACCTCTGTTTACAATGCGTGGTTGAGGTAAAGCTAATGTGCCTGCTGTATTTCCAGGGCGGTGTCTCTCAATGACAATGTATAATTTGTAGAGGTAATCACACGGGAAGGAGTGCAATTAATAGCGAGCTTAAGCAAACAACGTTATTGTCAACATGGACGTCAGATTGCCGAGGGGGGACTGGACTAAAAACTGTGTTTAATTTAATCATTTGTCACAACACAATCATTACGCATGCATCTACAATAAACAGAGGACATAAGTGTGACTGGGGAAAGGAACAGGACTTGCGTCCCAATTGACACCTGACATTGACAAGTGTTTGTGTCAGTTTGTAGTAATCTTCATCACATGTAACAAAACATAAGATTTTATTTAAGTTTTTTAAATTGCTTCCTTACACGAACGTTATGATGTAAAATACCGTCAAAATTAGTCATACAAATTTTCAGGTGACGTTCGTGTTGAGAAAAACGTCGTTTGCTTAAGCACACTAATGATTAACACTACGAGTGATATTTGAAAAATGTGCCAAAATTGATCGTGACTAAAACACCACACGAGTACATACGAGTAACACACAGGTACATACGAGTACATACGAGTAACACACGAGTACATACGAGTAAAACACAAGTACATACGAGTAGAATACGAGTAAAATACGACTAGTAAACTTGTTTTTAGTGTTTGTAGATTGAATACAGGCAAAAAGATCGTCTTCTCTGTCGAAAAACGTGAAATAGACTGAAACCGGCTATCTTTAAAACGGGGGACGGGGAATGGGAGAACGGGAAGTGGGGGAACGGAGAACGGAGGGAATGGAGGGGGAGGGAGGAGACGGGGCGGGGGAGGTCTGCCAGATTATATAAACCACAACTTTGTAGTTTGTACAACATCTTCTTTTAGGTATTCTACCTAGATAGTTAGATACATGACACAAACCATAGGCTTCACATATTTCACGGCATGGTTTGCTTTCAAAACCCTGTGAGCATGCACAAAACCTAACTCACTAACTGCATCTATATAAATAGTTGTCGAATAAAGCTCAATATTTTGGACACAAAAATGTAAACAAAGACTTTGTTTACATACGGACTGTAGATCACCTTTAACAATAATTTATCCATTACTTATTATTAAAGGGGGATAGCAATGGCCGTGGGTCACGTGTGTGGCCGACATACCGCGAATGAATAGGGGGGTCTGGAGGCATTAACTCCCCAGAAAATTTTTGAAATTTCAAGCCCAAAAATGCCATTTCCTGCCGTCTGAGCATCTAAATTTTCTAGAATTTATCCTAACTAACTTCTATTTGAAATAAAAGAAGGAAAAAACACACAAAGAATTTTAAAAATATTAACAATAATTTATCATTATACTTAGTGTTAGAAACACGTAGGATGCCACGCGGTGACACAGTCCTTTAAATCGATTTTGTTAAACAAGGACAAAGGATAAAGCCTAAAACGTATGTTCCGTTTATCAATTTGTTATTCTTCGCTGGTTTGTTTGTATAAATTTACGAAAAAGGGACTTTTCTGGGGGAGGGGGGCAAAATGTGATTTCGTTTTTGCGCAAGGGGAGACTGGGGGCAAATGCCTCCCCCCCCTCCTTTCCCAGCTTGTATGTTAAAGAGGCCGTGCAGGACAAATCCAGTTTTCAAGTGAGCCTCAGAACGTGCATTTTCATTTCCGATCAGGCCTGCATCAGAGCAAAGTATCCAAGCTTTCTTGGCGACGTTCTCGTTCCTCCAGACTTTCCTCCCCTTCTCAAGGTGGAGCACGTCCAAAGGCTTGCAGGAGAGTTCGGCTGGGTCCTTTAGAAACGTACTTGCCAACTTAAATTGCTAACTTAAAATCTGCGTATTTTGAAGTATTTTGTGTTTTGTTAGTTTTGCTTTGTAAGATATTTAAAATAGGATAATCACTTTAAGATATCATATGGAGCATAAGGACCGCCTTGGGATTGCATCTAGTCCTTAAGTTTGTTTTATTATATAGCAAGTATATTAGTAATGACATAAGCAATGTTATTATTATTAATATTACTTAATGATCGGACATAAGCAATGTGGATTGACTTTTTTATGATACGCTGTACTAAGGCCAATTAAAAATAATTTTCAGTTTTTCATCAGATTTTTTGAAAAACGGGGGGCGGGCGGATTTTAATTTTTTTTATTATTTATTTTTTAATAGCGTAAGTAGTATATTTCCCCTTTTATTAAAAAACGGATTAAAAGGTTGTCTTCCATTTCACACATTTTGTCTATGCAAGAAATAGTCACAGTCAAGAGTCATTTTAACTTCTACGCCTAAATACGAGACCATGTTGTACTCTGATAGCACAGAACTGATGCGTAATGAAACATTTATTAAAGAAATAAAAACATTTAATAATATGAACCATAAAGTATATGACTAATAATTTACTGAACATAATTTTATAGCCTTTGTCACTTGTAGCCAAATTTCAAGTTTTTTTAAACTTTCTTTCTTGATGATCGCTTCTCTGGTTTGCGAGTTTTCTTGCACTCTTCACATAGTGGATAGCTTTCGGGATTGGTATTAAGATCGTCTTCAACGCCACAAAAGAAGCAAATGTCTTCAAAACCTGCTGCATACCACGGCTTTTCTGTTGGTTGACTGCAATCCACGTTTACTGCGATGAAAAATATGTTGCTGTCACGTGACCAATTTTGCATTTTTTCGGACAACTTTCGCACTCCGCTATTCAAAGTATATACACGTGCGCGATATAAACAAGCGAAAATATCGCAAAATAAGGGCGATTTGAAAGTTTTTTTTTGTATTTGTGGGTATATTTAACTCCTGTAAGTGTAATATACCAAAGAGAAAAATGTCTAGTTGTATGGATAAGGAGAATAAGCGTGTTTCGGACATGACTGTTGCTGAACTAAAGGAGTATTTGAAAATGCGTGGCGTTACTGCAAGCGGCTATTTAAAACCTGCTTTACTTCAAATTGCTCAAGCAGTGGAGAAAATGATGTTGTCGATTGACCCAAATCATGAATATGGAAATTCGGATCTCAAGAACGCAAGAGAAACATTTATTATTCATGATATGGTGATACGTCAGCCATTGTCATATCCAGTCGTGAACGACTTTATAGATTCGCCACCCTTCGGTTTGTACGATATTTTTAACTATTTAATATACAGCTCAGCTGAGTATGATAAACAGGGACTTGCCGCATATAAATCATTCGAAGATTATAGATTGTTTGACGAAGGCTATGTGGAGTCATTGAGAACCGCAACACTAAAGGAAGAGGGTATGTATCTGTTTATTGGAAAAGTACGGCCGGCTATGAAAGATACGACAGACGATGGAAAAAAACTGTACGATGTCTGGTTTATGTTAGAAGGAAAAGGCAACAATCGAGGTAGCGTATTAATGGCTAGATGTACATGTAAAGGAGGGCAAGATGGAGGCTGCAAGCACATCGCAGCCTGTTTGTATTCGCTGGAGGATGTACTGCATAATCGCGAGAGTGTAACATCTGGTCCATGCCAGTGGGTTAAACGAGCGACATCAGAAACCAAACCGTGCGAAATTAAAAATTTGCAAATACGGAGATCCGACAAAAGACCGAGTCCGAGTGAAGTGAAACGAAAATACGAACATTTTTATGCTGATAATATTGATGTTGACGTCAGGCACGAAAACGATAGAAGTCCCCCCTCCAAAAAGGCTCTTATTACGTTTACAAATGCTCTTTCGTCCGTCAGCAGTAAACCCTGTGTCTTTCCACTACTTGAAAAAAATTATCAATCGGAATCCTCACAAGAAACCACACAAGAGTTCAAACCTACCCAGTTAATAAAAGATGGAGGTATATTAATTTTTTATTTAAAGTGAAATAAGTGTGCAATGTGCAAATTTTGTTTAAAAGTGTGTCA